CGCCAGCCCCCCCCCCCCCCCCCCCCCCGGGGGGGGGGGGGGGGGGGGGGGGGGGCACTTTTCATCAGAGCCACTCATCCTTTATACTTAAGTCCATAACCCAGGACACCTGGGTGCACATGTGCAATTACATTAGACAATAACCAAGGAACACCTGGGCACACATGCATATTTACATCAAATGCTCAGCATGACTCTGAACATCTGAGGGGCTCTGACCATTTTCCTATATTTTCCCAACAAGACAGTGGAAGATTTGAAAGGCAGATTTAGTAAAAAAGACAAAGGCATCACCCGGTGATAAGAAAAAAATGAGAAAAATATTGAAGGCAAGATAACTGGTAAAGTAATCCAGCCTGGAACTTAGACTACATCCAGGAAGTACTAAATGAAATAACACAAGAGCTTTGTCAGAATCTAGATCTTATCAGATTTAAATGTTAAGGGAGAGGAACAAAGTTTTCTGGCTCGAGCTCACACATTTACAGTCCTCTCTTCCACAACACACAGTAAAGGATTTTTGTAAGTATAAGCCCAGAACAATGAAAAGAATGGGAGGGGTACCATCAGCAGACAAAAGATTTCAAAACATTTCCAGAGGATCCCTCATGGATAAGAGAAGCACCAGAAGAAACCAAGGGAGAGGCAGGAGCTAGTAGTAGAGAAAAAAAGCCAAGGTGCTAAAAATGATCCAGAAAGGTTGCAGACTTGGAGTCTCAGGTATGATAAATGGCAGCAAGAAGCACAGTTGAAAACAGGTAGAGTAATCAAATATTTATATACTGAACAGGTGACCTTCTTAACAGAAAATAACATTTCTGTAGAAAACTTTTTTTTGTTTATTTTTGGGGGAGCTGGCCAGTACGGGGATCCAAATCCTTAGACCACCTTGCATTCTAACCAAATGAGCTAACTGGCCAGCCCTTCTGTAGAAAATTTAACCAACAGACTGGGAGAAATGAGACCAATAGTATATGTGTCACCTCCTAAGGAAAGGCCTCTCTCTATTTTAGGGGCTACTATTCCCAGCATACTTGTAGACATCAAAGGAAGAGAGAGTTTATATATATGTGAATGTCTTTCAAAATACAATTTTTCACTTATTCCTGCTTGTGTTGAAAATTAAAATCAGAAACATTTCAAATATTTCTAAATTAAGGAAATGAAAAGAACGCTTACCTCTTGCTTTCCATCCAAACTGGTAAGCAGCACAGGTCGACCTATACATATGTTTGCAGACTTCATAGTGTTGAGTGCAAAATGAACAAGGGAATTCTGGAATGTTTTAGGAACTTTGTCATCTATTATGAAGGAAGAGAAAATTATTTTTGTACTATTTTGTAACTGAAGTTAAATCATGCTTTTTTGGAGTAAATAAAAATCCTCTATCCATATAATCACATGAATGCACTTACCACACCCTAGAAAAACTACCATTCCAACTGTCGTTTTAACAGATTTAAAACCAAACCCTTCTGAGAATCTACTGACAGTATATGAGTGTTAACTAAAAAGAGGATGTTTTATGGGGTATTAGAGTTTTTTGTTGTTTTTTTTTTAAGTCTCTAATTTCATTAAGAACTAAACACACTTGCAGTAGAGAGTCTCTGAGCTTTTCATGGTACGGATTCTAAGTTGAGACAGCTACTAGCATTCAGAGGGTTCAATTGGGAACTGGTACATCTATCCGGCTCTACAGGATTAAGTTATGTTTCCACTTCCAACCCAAATGAGAGTAATCAAATCTTTCTCTTTTCTATTACCAAAGACAAATGAATAAGATAGCAACACAAGTCTTATTCCTTAGATAAACACACTTACAATGACTGAAATCACCATGAGTCATTCCAACTTTTGGCCGAAGAAGGGACCCAAAATTCAGGCCCATTGAGGACACCTCTGAAAATGATGTGCTATCATCTCCACCCTTCCTACCAACATCTCCCTACTTCCTACGTACCCCCACACTACCAAGTTCCACGTTTGGTTAGCTGTCCCTCCACTGCTTTTCCCAGCTCCCTGTGCTGCCACATACTAGCACTTATCATCATAATGTTCATTTGTCTTATAGTCTTTCTCCCAAACTGTATGCTGTTTTGGCACAGGAATTGGATCATATTTATCTTTGTATCTCCAATGCATAAGAGTGCATCAAATATAGCAGTTGCACAATAAATATCCATGAAATGAATGAATGTATTACAGGAGTACACAATATTTTTGTTTTCAGCACAAAACCCATGAAACACTTATGGAATTTAAGCCTGCCATAAACTTCATTATAAAATTTATTATAGACACATAAACCATAACCATAAAGCTCTACATAATATTAGTGTTCCTTAATAATCAGAAAAACAGATCTCTTATAATGAAAAACCAATGAAAGCAAAACCATGAGGTATGTCTGATTTACATTATCCTCTGCCACTACAAAATAACTCAACACGTTTATTTTCTTTCCGCCATCAGAGAAGCAATCTTGAAAAACAAAGCATCTCACAGAGCTAAGAACAGTACCGAGTATAAAGTGAAATGAGAATACTGCACAATATGAGGAGTCCAAAAAAATTCAACCTTTCTATGAACATTAGTTTTTTTACAGTTTGCCCATCAATAACAAAACATCCTGAAGTCACATGTCCTCATAATGATTAGTTCCTACCACTTCTTTCTTCCTAAATATTTCCCACTTGACAATTACCTCAGAGGTATATTCAGTCTTTTGCAAGATTCTAGGTTTTCTTCTCCTCCCTTCATCCTATCCTGCACATTCACCACGCCCCAGGATTTAACAAATCACAGGCTTCCCTAAATACCTCCACATTCTGTATCAATAGAAATCATGTTCAAATTCCCATCCACTGACCTCTTTTCCCAATACATCAGCAGTGTATCCTCTGCTTACATCATTCAAATCTATTCAAGCTTTCCACATAATTCCCTTCACCAGTCTTCATTCCTCCAGTACTTTAAAAATACATCTCAATATCCACTCTCCCCGTTAACTACCTTTATATTTATTGAATACCTTAAATGTCAGATTAACTAACAAGATAATAAAGATAATTTCAAACAACCATCCACCCTTCATTTACTCATTCAGCAAATATGTGCCTACTATACAGCAGACACTGTGTTCACTTCTGTTCACAGGTCCTTGGCCTCATAGTTTATAATCTAGTAGGATAAGTTATCAAATAATTTCTGAATAGCTATACAATTGAGAACTAGGATTAATACAATGAAAGAATGACTAAGAGTAATAGAAGAGCCTGTAATGTGGGATCTGACCTAATTTGGACAAATCAGAGAATGCTTCTGAAAGGAAGTAATGTTAAAATTCAGATCTGTAAATTCAGAAGTGTAAGAAATAACTAAATGAAGATAAGAAAAAACTATTTCTCAACTAAGAGAACAGCATGAACAGAGGTCCTGGCAGAGTATGATGCATCCTCAGGACAGAGTACAGGCAGAGTAGTGGGAGACAAAGGCGGGGCACTTAAGGAAGGTCAAGACCACCTAGGACAACAGATTTTATCAAGATGCTGGTCATTACCTTGATAGCAATGGGAACCCAGTGACGGAACAAAATCTGGGTGACCACAGGATTTTCATTTTAAAAAGATTGTGGCTGCACAGTGTAAAAGGAAAAACGAAGGGAGCAAAATTGGAAGGGAAATGAGTTAAAAGGCTATTGCAGCAGTCCAGTTGAGAGATGATGGTGTCTGAGATTAAGGCTGAAACAGTGAGAACGATGTGAAGAAGAGGAATGTGGAAAATATTTAGGTGATAACAGTACTTAGTGGTGGACTGCATATGTGAGGTGTGAGAGAGAGAGGTGTTATGGATGACTCTCAAGTTTCTGAATTTTGCAATGGGAAAAACTGAACAGGGCTAAAGTTTGTTTTGTTGGAGCACTCATTAAGGCAGTCCTGAAGTATCTCTGAGAACTCCAAGAGAGTTTTGTACAGTGTTATGTGGTCCACAAACTATTTGTAACTGGTCCATCCATGATGAGATAAGTATAGAAAATGAGAATAAGCATTTAGAAGTTTTTACTGCAATTTGACAGAGTAATTTTATATCTATTGAATCTAATAAAAATTTTTAGTTTTTTTAACTCATCTAGTAATTCATTTTAACTGTATTTTACAAAAGTACCAGTCTATGACTTATTATAAATTTTTAAAGTTTCACCAGTTTCAGAAGCATTAATCTAAAAGACAACTAAATCAAGATTCAGAAACAGTATGAATTACAAATATAAACCTGAAAACAAAAAGGATACAGATGAGAAACCCTCAATGTTGGATGAACTTACCAAAGAGAGAAGATTTATAGAAAGAAAAAGAAAATGTACAATTAAGAATCGAGGAACTTTAATATTTAACGGTAAGGTGGAAGACAACACCTTTGCCTACAAAGGAAACTGACAAAGTACGAACAAGGATGGAGAAAAACTAGGAAAGTTCGATGACATATAAGACAAGTAGTAATGTGTTTCAAACAGAGAAAATGATTGACAACACCAAAAAGTGCTGAGGTCAAATAAGATAAACAATGAAAAACCATCCATTGGATTTATCAACATGGAGATGACTGGTGACCATGGCAGGCCCAGTTTCCATGTAATGATGAAGTGGAAATCAAACAGGAATAGGCTAAAGAGTAGATGAGAGATGAGGAGGCAGAGACCACCCCATTTAGGAAGTTTGAGAGAAACTTTAACAAGGTGGAGAGAGATGGAGTAGTAGCAGGAAGAAAATGTGGAGCTTTTGTTTTGATTTAAGACAGAAACGAGCATGTTTAAATGTCAATGGGAAGGATCCAGCTGAAAAAGAGGCTGAATCTGCAGGACAAAACAACTTGTCCCCTGATCCCTGAGGAAGAATGAAAAGACCATGTTAATTCTAAGACTGTCTTTAGGGTCTGATTAGACATAAAAATCTTGCCACTTCTTCAGTCTGATCCATTTTTCAAAGCTATTACACATCCAGCATGCTAGAAGCTTTACCAACTAAATGACTTTTCAGATATAAATCCCCCAAGTCAAGGGAGCTGTGATCTAGTTCAATGGCTTTGGAGTCAAATACATCTGTAGTCTGTCACTTAGTACCTGTGTAACCTGAATGGAATCAGGTTAACCTTTCCTCCTCTGTAAAATGAGCATTATTGTACAGTACCCGTATGTCACAGCTTCTGTGAAGATTAAATGAGATTTGTATGTGACATACCTAACCCGCAGCTAACACCAGTGTGCAATTAATAGCAGTTATTAAATACCAGAACCTGTGTAGTAGTGAAGGAAAATGCCACCTTTATTCTTGAAGACACAGTAATGCCTCTTAGGACGGATCCACATTTTTACTGAACTAGGTATACATACATACTTCTTCCTTATATACGTAAGTCTTGTGTGGCTTTCACACCTTTACCACGCCCAACTTTCAAAAACGTCTGCACCTCAAGGCAACACCGACGGGTCTTCCTCCCCTCAGGTTGCGCCCCCTCCCAGAACTCTTTACCCTTTTCGAGGAAGTTGGTCACCACCAGAGTCCAGGTCGCCGCCGCGAAGCCTGGCCCAGCAGAAGGAGCAAGGGCCCCCGCACGAGAGGAAGCAGAAGAGGGCGAAGGCGAACCATTTTCCGCGCTTCGGTTCAGGCGCTTTCTGTTCTTTTTGGAAGACATGAGAGATCAAACGGCAGCACCGGCGAAAGGACCGCAAAGCCGGCTCAACGTGCGCGTTCCTCTGAGAGAAAAACTTCCGGGGCAGAAGTCAGCGAGGCTCCGCCTCGCGCCGTAATTCCCCGAGTGAAGTGCAGTCGCAGGAGCGAACCCATCATCTTCAGAACCCGCAGTATTTGAAGTGGTTGCGGAGGTTCTGATATCTACAGAAATCAGGAAGACAGATTCAGTGAACGGAACCGCCATTTAGACTATAAATTCATGAAAGACAGGACTTTTTTGTGTCATGGCCTGCCTTCCCCATCCTTAAACAAATGTCTCTTGAATTAAACTACAAACAAAACAAGTCGGTGGGAAAGTTTCTCCCTGCTTTCCTGGAGCCGGGCAAATTGGTATGAAGAGCTGATGAACAGGACTTCCTTGTCTCCTTTATAGCTCTGCAGAGTAGTAACTCCAGCTCAACTCTGAAAGTGGGTGGCATTCTTCTAACATTTACGGTAGAGAGCTCTCCTCAGGAATGCGGAGGAGGGGTGGCGTGGAGACCAAGCGTGCGGGACAGCTAGGAGATGGTGCAGCTGCCGAGTGGAGGCTACTGGCGCGCGGTTCTGGCCCTGGCCCGCAGCCCCAGGCTTTCGTTGGGGTACCGCTGGACCTCGGGCGGCCGAGATCGCGCGCGGGATCCCTTCGCCAGAGCGGGCGAGCCGGACAGATTCGGGGGCGTCTCGGTGCGCCTGTCGCGGCTCGGCGCGCTGGACTGCCTGGACGCCGCCGCCTTCCAGAGGGGCTTGCAGGGCAAGTGCGCCTGGGGAGAGGGGCTTCCCTGGCTCCTGAGCCTTTCTAATGAAATAACCGTGAACTCACCCCCATGTCGCTCTCTACACCAGTCAAGTACCGAGCACGAGGGAAAGGGCACGCATGACCCGGGCCCATTTTCTCCCCTTAGTTCTTAATGCCCTTTGCTGGGAGGTCTCTGAGGCGGTTGGTGAAGATCCCGGACTTTGGGATCAGCAGTCTTGGTGTCTGGTCCACTTTCTAGTGTGTGACCTTCGAAAAGTTCTGTAATCACTCTGTCCTCATCCATAAACCCGGATAATAGGAGCTCATGGGATTGCTGCGAGTTAATTTGCATAATGATATAAAGTACATAGCACGGTGTCTGCCAAATATTTAACTCTCAATAGGTGTTTGTTAATATTATTACATTATTTCCTATCATTTACCAAACCTTGGTTCTGCTGGGCACTTTGCCTAAAACAGAACGCTCACATTCTAATACAGGTGGTGGATATTACCAGAGAGCTTTTGAGTGGTCACATTTGTACACAAATCAGGTCAGGAGCTGTCGGGGCAAGAACTGGAGTTTCCTTCTACAGTACTTATAAAGCAATAAGTCTTTTATGATTAACTGGGGAGGGTGGTATGTGGGTTCACTCTTCACTGAGAAAACTCTCCACTCTCTTTGAACGTTGAGCCCAGTAATAAAAAAGAAAACAGGTGGAGGAGCTTTAACTATGGGAGAAGTCCTTGATTTGGTAGAGCAGCCTGTTCTTCAAACTGCCCGCGAGGGTCATATCATGGAAATTCAGATCTCTCACACTAACAGGAAATTTCAGATAATCTTTATCTCTTGTTGAGCAATATGACAAGTAAGCATTGTGTAATCATTGTCATTTCCAAATGACTTACCTCTTCATGTGATTTTCTTTCCTACCTGTGAATCATTGCTGACAAGCATACTTAGACTCCAACAATATCACCAGTAGGAGAATCAAACCAATTCATCCTCTGGTGTATGTATATTTGTGTGGGTAGACACAGGTATTTATTGCACACACCGATACTTACCAGTGACCAAATAGTGATCAAAGCACTATGCCAGTCAGCATGGCAAAGCAAAAAGCATGTTAGATTTGGAGGCACACATTCAGGGTTCAAGTCTCAGTATCTGCCATATGCTTAGTCAGGTGTTAGGCAAATTGCCACTGAAAATATTTGCCTCTTACATTGCTATTGTGAATAATGCTAGCCCTAATTATTCTACTGGATAGATGTGGTGATCAAAGATAAATTACATGAAACTAATTTGTAAACTGGAGTATCATATACTTTTTATATTTTTTAATAAAACAAATTCTGTTGTACAACTAAGTGCTAGATACTGGTTTAAGGACTTTATAGATATCAATTCATTTAATCCTCATAACAGCCCTGTGAGGTAGATACCATTATTATCCCCATTTTAAAGATGATGGTACTGAGGCATAGAGAGAATCAGTAGCTTCCTGCCTCTAAAAGCTGCTATTTCTGTGTTTATCAAGTCAAACAAAACTAACAGAATGGTAGCGCCTGTCAAGAGAAATGAAAATAATCTAAGCCTAATAGGAAGTCTCTTTTCAGGTATATTGGACTGATTGTGTATAATGTATTAGCAACAGTTGTTACGCATAGTTACACATGAAGTTCACTATTCTTTTAGTGTTCGTTTTGTTATTGACAACTCTAAAGTTAGATGGATAAACAGGTATTATGTTGTTAGCTTCACATGAAATATATCTGCGTCAGTAGTGAAATAGCCCTGGTTCTGGTACTTGCTATGTCACTGACTAGGTGTGTGACTTTAGGCAAGCCAATCATTTAATAAATATGAATTGAGCCCCAGTGCATAGTAACAGGTTAAACTATAAGATTGCAAATGCACAGAATATTAAATATGATTAGAAAAAATAGATAACAGAAGAGATATCATTAGGTGATAAGTTCTTATAAATCATACATAGCAAGTAGTTCTTAAGTTCACATAATGGAAAGCACATGAGCAGTGGTTAGGAAAGAGTTTTGTCAAATGAGCTGGCCGGTTAGCTCATTTGGTTAGAGTGCAGCCTTAAAACACCAAGGTCATGGGTTTAATCCTGGTACCAGCCAACCACACACACAAAAAAGATTTTTGTCAAAGAAGTGGTGTACAAGCTGGACTCAGGGATGGTTATGAGTTGTCGGGATGGGAGGCAAAGGAAAAAGTATTAGCATTTATTACAGAAAAGAGAAAGGAAGGAATTACATAAATGAAGCTAGTTTGGGGTGTAGGATTCAGTTTTGAACATCCTTCTTGCAGTTTGAAGTGGCAGCTTTGGGGAAATGTCTGAAAGCAGCTGTAGAGCAGAAAGTTTAGTGTTCAGTGAGGCAGGACTGGGCCACCATCCTCATGTAGGTGTTAGTCAAAGCAGTGAAAGTCGATGGATTCTCCAAGACAAGAAGTGTAAAGATATAAAGCAGCAAGCAGCTAACTATGCTTTTGGAAACCAGCTTTTTTATTTGATTGGAAGGATTGCCAGGGAAGGAGCACATGGGAACTCTGGGGTGATAGAAATGTTCTATAATCCTAGTGGAAGTGTGGGTCACAGGTGTATGCATACATCAGACTCATCAAATGTACAATTAGGATTTGTGCATTTCATGTTATATAATTATACCTCAATTTTAAAAAGTTTTAATCAAAGAAAGAGTAAAGTGAGAAGGATGTGATCCCACAGCCCATTACATGCTACGTCAAGTCAAATCTTTATTAAAGGCCCCATGTGCCTTTCACTGCTAGGCACACTGACTTTCAAAGATGTAAAGAACATGGTCCTTAACAGAGAGGAGCTTACTGCAGAACTGGTGAAGAAAAGAGAGGAAAAGAAAATTAACCATTAAATAGATAATCAAGCCTCCCAAGTCATACTCATTTACAGGGTTATTGTAAAGATTAAGTAAGATGATGGATGGAGAAAGTGATCTGAAAAGTTTTTCTAAAACTGAAGTATTCATTTCTTCACCCATAAATTAAAGGTAATAATACCTGTCTTTCATGGTTGTGAGCACTTAATGAGATAATATGTATAAATCGTCTGGAACTTGGTAAGGTTCAAATAAATGTTAGCATCTTTTTTCACTGGCTCAATCTTAAGTAATAAAATAAGAGACTTTAAAGAAAATCTATCTTTATGTTCATCCTGGTGTTATTTGTAATAAAGGAAAATTAGAAACAGTCTAAATGTCTTAGGGTGGAAGGTTGGTTAAGTAACATATGGTATACCTATGGGAGGAAAACTATGCAGTCATTAAAAATTCATGTTTATGGAAAGAATTTTAATGACATAACAAAATGTTTAAAATATATAGTGAAAGGGCCGGCCCGGTGGCGCACTGGAGAGTGCGCCGCTTGGGAGCGCAGCGGCACTCCTGCCGAGGGTTCGGATCCCATGTAGAGACCGGTTCCTGCTCACTGGCTGAGCGTGGTGCAGGCGCAACACCGAGGGTTGCGATCCCATTGCCGGTCCCCGGTACGGGCGCGACGCTGAGGGTTGCGATCCCGTTACCGGTCAGTAAAAAAGATAAAAAGGAAAAAAAAAATATATATATATA